GCATTTTAGTCCATTCACATTAAGTGTGATTATTGACAGCAAATGCTTTATTGTTGCCATTTTGCTGTGTTTCTTTTTCATTTGTTTCTGGTTACTACGGTCCATCCACTTTACTTTGATGTCTCTGTGAATGTCCTCCCTGAAAATACCTTGTAGAGTCATCGTTGTTTTCACAAATTCCTTATATTCTTTTCTGTGAGTGACCTAATTTCTCCTTAATATTTGGTGGACAGCTTTGCTGGGTACAGGATCTTTGAGTAACAGTTGTTTTCATTCAGCTTCTTCTTGTTCCATGGTTTCTGCTGAGAAATCAGAACTTAATTGTTTCTTCTTTATAAATGACTCTGTTTTTCTTACCCTGCTTTTTTTTTTAACCTTGTCTTTTGCTTTGGAGAATTTGGCTATGGAGGAGATTGTCCCTCCTTCTTCAGCAGAGCATCTGGTGGATTTGAACCACTCACCTCTGGGGTTGCAGTACCGCTTCCTGCCACTAGGCCACCAGAGCTCCCTGTCTATATGTCTTGATGGTTTTTGTTTTGGATCTAGTCTGGTGTTTGCTGAGCTTGTTGAATGTGGATTCCTCAATTCTTCCTTGTTCCTGGGAAGTTTTCTTCTAGTACCTCTTCCACAATTTTCTCAGTGATTTCTCTGTCCCTTTCATGTTCTGGAATTCCAGTCATACGTATGTTGCTCTTTTTTATGTCATCCCACATGATTCTAATGTTTTCTTCCTTTTCTTTATGTCTTATTTCTGATTTTTCTTCTACTATATTTTCACTGAGATTCTTGTCTTCCAGTTCACTGATTCTCTGTTCCATTCTCTTCTTCTCTTTCTCCCAATATTATTTTGGAACCTTCCATCATTTTGGTCTTAATATTCTTGATTGCATTTTCATGCCTTTCTGCTATTTCCAGTGCTGTGTTAGCTGTACCCTCTCTGTCTTGTGGTGATTTTTTTAAAATTCCTGTCCCTCTTTTATCTTTAGTTTCAATTCTCTCTTCCAACTTTTGCATTTTCTTCCACAGTTGTTCAAATTCCTCCACATCATTTTTTCTGGCTTCCTGTCTCTGGAGTATTTGCTTTCTCAGTGGCTTCCATTGTTTCTTCAATCATTTGCACCTTCTTCTAGAGCTGTACAAATAATTCTGCATCAATATATTTCTTCTGGGTGTCTGTGTCTGGGGTATTCATTGGGTCTGTAATATGCTTTGCTTTTTTAGAAGAAGTAGTTGTTTTTTGTCATGTTTGAGGCTGTCTGCTGCTTTCCTGACATTATGCTTAGCTTTTCTTGGAAGATGTTAGGCTGTTATAATTGTGTAATGCTCCAGGGGAGGGCCATGTTCTGTCAAGGTCCTGTACATTGGCACGCCCCTCTTGGCCCCAGCCCCGAAGGCTGGGGACCCAAAGCAGAGCAAGTATCAGGATCAGAGAGTGCAGGGGTGTATTGTCCTCTGGGAAACCACAGAGGGTACACTGCCATTCTCCTTGGCGTAAGAAATCCCAAGCCTTCTCTGTTGAGTTCATTTGTGCATTTTGTAATGGGGTCGTTTGTCTCCTTTTTTCCTTGCTGAAGTTTATAAATTTGAGAGATGAGTCTCTTGTTAAATATGAGTTTCCCCTTTTCTGTCCAATCCTCACCAACTACACCATGCTCAGGCCTGTCGTTGCAGTGATTGTTGGTCTTATCTCTTCGTGGTCTTCCTCTCCCTCGACTGACTTTCTACTTTTCCCAGCATTATGTCTTTTTCGAAGAATATCTGGAGTCTCCTGACAAGGTGCATGAGATACATGAGGTGAAGTTTCACCCTCCTTGCTTCTAAGGAGCTCTTGGTTGCCTTTTCTCCAAGACAGATTTCTGTTCTTGTGGCAGTGCACAGTTGTGCAGTACGCTTCTTCAGTACCACAGTTCAGAGGCATCACTTCTTCAGTCTCCCTCTGTTCATTGTCCATCTTTCACATGCACAGGAAGCAACTGAAATTACATCTTAGTGTTCAGCATCTTTTGCTCTTAACACTCATTAGCACATTTTCCCAATTAATTAGTAATTAATTATTAGTAGTAATGATAAGCAACCCGATATTAGTAATAATAAGCGACTCGACAGCACATAACAACAACAGTACATCTTTTGATTTCTTTTTTTTTTTTTCTTTTGATTTCTTGACTACCCTTTCCACGAGTGTTGATTGTGAATCTAAGTAAAATGAAATTTTTGACAAATACAGACTTTTCTCCATCTGCCATAATGTTGCCTATTGATCCAGTGATGATAATTTTTGTTTTCTTGATGTTGAAATATCACCTTTATTGAAGGGTGTGGTCTTAGATCTTCTTCAGTTAAGTGCTTTAAGTCTTCACCTTTGGCAAGCAAGGTTGTGTCATCTGCATAATGCAGTTTGTTGTCCTTTTGTCATATTCTTCATACAGATGAGTCTCTGAAACTGTTTGCTGAGCATAAATAGTTGAAATAGGTATGAAGACAGGGCACACCTTGCTGCGTGCCGTGTCTGAGTCCTTTCATGTCTCAGTCCTAACACAGATGCTGTAGGAGGGGCTGGTAAGCCGCACTTTTACCAGATCTTCCGCTAGCCTGCTTTGTATTGTTCCTTTTTAAGCTTTTTATTATGATTTGGGTATATGTTTACAGAGCAGCGTGGCATCCCGTTGAACATCTGTACATATTTTTTATGACGTTGATTACAATCTCCTTGCCTGGTTTGATTTTTTTTTCTTTTATGACTCATCAGTAAGGGTGTTTTAAAAAAATTTTAAATGGTTATAAAAAGGAATATTTGATAACAAATAAGTGAAATGTTACTGAACACAGACATGCCCATCTGTTCATCTGTTTATAACTTATGACTACTTTGGCCCTGCAGTGACAGAGTTGTGTACAGTCAGTGCCCAGGTTACTAACAAGATTTGTTCTTGTGTTTTAAATTATTTGTAGGTCAGTTGAAACAGATGCAAAGGGTTGTTGGTTAGCTTTTCTTTAGTGGAAGAAATGGCACCCTGATGGTATAGTGTATAGTGTACTGTGCCCCTGACCAAGGTTTCCAGTGACCTGTGTCTGCCAGAGCCTCTAGGATAAAAGAAGGGCAGTCCCCTCCTGGTAGGAGCCCACACAGCCCTGGGAACACGTTGGTGAGGTGCAGTGAGGTGGCTTTACGGCAGGCTAGTCCGTGTTAGTGGAAGCCGTAGGAGCGCTGGTGGCGTACTGTACTAACTGCTAACTGCAAAGTCATTGATTCGAATCCACTAGTGCTCCATGAAAGTAAAATGGATGGTTTAGGCCTCAAAACATTTACAGCCTTCACACACTGTAGGATTGATTGCTGTGAGTGGGGACTGACTGACAGGACGGCCGTCGTGTGGCGGGTGCTTCCGTGTTAGCCACAGTTCACAGTGACCCTCCAGCAACAGAGCTGAGCGTTGCCCTCACCTGCTCGCTGGAGCCACTTGTTACAATCAGCTTTGTCAGTCACCTTGTTGGATGCCATCTGCTCCTCCTCTGACCCTTCAGCTCTCCGAGCATGGTGTCATAGCGGCAAGGACGCTGAGACTTCGTCTTACATACATTGGACGTGTTCCCAGGATGGGCTAGCGCCTGGAAGTGGGCTGGGGAAACTGAACATCGGAGGGATTGATTTTTTTTGATTTAGTGCAAAAGAGCTATGATGCCTTTTCAGTTATTTAAGAACTCTTGTTCAGCAAGTGAAAGTGATTTTCATGAAGAATTGGTTGTGAAATAGGGATTGTTTCAGTCATTTCAAAAGGGAGGGCAAGTAGACTTGTCATAAGTTGTTGGAAAGAAGCCATATGATCTTTACAAACATGTATAGACTTTGTACAAAAAGAGCAAGGGCCACGTCGGGAATGCCGTCTCCGACCTTTACCAGCTTCACAGGGGGAAATCTGCCCACAGAATCAGTAACGCAAAGCCAAGTCCCGTGAGGCCAGACATGACACACACACACACACACACACACACACCCCGCCCCACACGCACACACACTCCTGTACCTCTTCCTGCTTTTGACAGATGATACTAGTAATGAGCTGGCCTGTCATTTAACTCAGTCCAGATAGTCTCAAGATTCTGGGCTTTAGTACATTAAAGAATTTGAAGGTTGTTCTACATTTTTCTCCTGTTCTATTTGATACCATCTGTTGTGTTATCTGATCAAAATTGTTGCTAGTGGAAGATGGTGCCATTTAATTCTTTTGGTGTGAAGTTAGAAGAGAAACTGGTTTGTGTGGTATCATTTCTGTATATTAGAAATACCAAAGATGCCAAATGTGTTTGTATGATCTAGAAGTTAATTAGAACAAATCCCAAGTAGTATTTTCCGAACAAACCCCATATACATGGTTTTTCTTGATGTTAAACATGTTACTGCTTTAAATGAATATTTATATAATAAATGAGTTTCCCATTCACCAGTTTATACACAGACTGTTTCTTGACATTGGTTACTGTCCCTGTGACATGTTGACAGACTCTACCCTGCCTGCCCTGTTTCCAGCCCTCCAGTCTCCTTGCCCCCTGGCCTTTTTTATCTTTGTGTTTCGGCAAATGCTACCCCTTTAGTTTCACATGGTTAATTGTTCTAAGGACCACATTGCTCACGGGTAGTATTGCTTATTTTTAGGCCAATAGATTATTTGGTGGAAAAGTGAACTTTAAGTGCAGTTTTAGATTTCTAAAGTGATAGAGTATGTTGGAATGTAAGGATTGATTTCTCTTCCCAATAGAGTAATTAATTTCTGGCTGTAATAGAACTGTTTAAGCTTTATGATCATGTCATTTACATCAGTTACGAAATATGAACTCTCAGCTTTTTTATTTCTGGGACTCTGCAGGTGATCTTTGCACTGTTTCATTAGCTGACTTTTTTTAATCCTCATCTAAGTGTGACTTTTTATTACCATTAGTGTTTATTATATTCTCCTTCATTTTTGGCCAAAATAGTTAACAGAATGACTTTTTCCCTGCAGAGCAAGTGGACTTACCCACTGTGGCGTCTGTCAGCGCGTCGGTAATCAAGTCTCCGTCAGATCCCTCACACGCCTGCGTTCCTCCACCTCCACTCTTACTTCCAGCAGCGGCCACACGCAACGCGAGTACATCTATGCCCAGTAGCCTTCCCAGCATAGAAAACAAACCTCCACAGGCTATTGTGAAGCCACAGATCTTGACCCATGTGATTGAAGGCTTTGTGATTCAGGAGGGCTTGGAACCATTTCCTGTAAGTAGCCAGCAAGTTTGAATTTTTTTAACATGTGCTTATTCATCTAACTTTATTTTTAGTGTCGTCTAATGTTCTCAAAGAAAATGCTTATAATTTTTTCAAGTTGTCAAAAATCTTTCTCTCTCTTCATAGTGTATTTCCAAAAATACTTCTAGAATTTTATGTTACTTGGTTGTTAAAACTAAAGGGAAAAAAATAATAATTTTAAGACCATGAGCTAATTTAAATTTAAATGAATATTTACATAATAAATGAGTTTCCCATTCACCAGTTTATAGACGTTTTATCACTTCTGAAAATAATGTAGTTGTTCATTTTCCCAATTAAATAAACCACTCTCTTTGTTAAGGGAACTAAAATGGTACCTAAAGTAGATTATTTTTAAAATGATGTTTCTTAATGTGATTCTTTATGAGTTCTAACTTGAGTATAAACAATATTAGCTTTCTACTGACCTGGGAAGAAAATATATACAGTTACACATTTAACAATTTGTAATTAGCAGATTTTCTCATTCTTCCCAAGTCTCAGGCTTTATTCATATATTTAAAAAATAATGTAAAATGTTCCGATTCAAAAATGACACTAGAGTGTCTACTAATAAAATTCTAAAAATTCGAAACTGCACACCCCCTGCTTTCGAGCTGCATCAAACTCCAAGCAGCGTCCACTGGGTCTCAGGCGGTAAATCTCTATGCCCCTCCTTGTTCCTCAGAGCAGGCGCTGTGTTCAAACTTCTGACCTTTTGATGATGGCACCAAGGTTACTTGACTTGTGACTTGCTATTCATAGTGTTAATACATGGAGATGAAAGTTCTTTAGATTAAAAAAAAGAAGTAAACAAAACCATAAATATTTATTTTTAATACCTTTGAGTTCCAGGATTTTCAGACTCATATTGTTGTTGTTATGTGCCATCAAGTCGTTTGTGACTCAGCGACCCTATGTACAAGAGCTCTAAATGCTCTTCTATCCTGTGCCAACCTAACCATCTCAAATGCACTTATTCCCACCGCTCCAGTCACAGAATCGATCCATCTCACCAAAGGTCTTCCTCTCCTTCGCTTCCCCTCCACTCTGCCAAACATGACGTCCCTTTCCAAGGACCAGTCCCTCCTTGCAACATGCCCAAAGTATGTTAGACGAAGCTTCAGAATCCTTGACTCCAGGGAACATTCTGGTTTCACCCTCTCCAGGACAAACCTGTTTGTTCTCCTAGCAGTCCATGGTATATTCAACACTCTTCTCCAGCACCACAACTCAAAAGCATCAATTATCTTTCTCTCAACCCTATTCACTGTCCAACTCTACGATGCATAGCACGTAATTGCAAAGACTATAGCCCGGATCAGGCGCACCTTAGTCTCCAGCCTGACATCGTTGCTCTTCAGTACTCTTGAGAGGTCCCTCACAGCCGACTTTCCCAATGCAATTCATCTCCTGATTTCCTGGCTGCTGTTACCAAGAGTGTTGACTATGGAACCAAGTAAACTAAAACTGTTAACTATCTCAATCTCTTCACCACCCATCAAAAAGTGCTAAATGTCTGTATTGGTATATAAGTAATGTCTACATTTTTAGTCATTTTTTAGCATACATTCATAGAATTAAAATTATTGGATCACATCCATATATGTAGAAACTCTTGATATATTGGTAAGATTTTCTAGAAAGATTCATTTACTAAACTCACCTGCTCATTGGAGCACTGGTGGCCGAGGGAGAAGGGACTTGACTCAGAAGTTCAAGTCCACCAGCTGCTCTGAGGGAGAAGGGTGGGCAGTCTCCTCCTGCCGGGGGTCAGCTGTGAGTCAGCTCCAGCTCCTGAGCTGTGAGAGGGGTTGTTCCTTGACCTGAAGTGTGGATGTCCAGAGCAGCATTGACCATTGCAGCTCTAGCAGTAACTTCCGTAAATACCACCTGAATGGCCGTGAGACGCTTTCAGGTTGTCTCCAGCTCAGTGACCTGTGTGCCGCAGAACAGCACACAGCCCGCTGGGACGCCATCCTTACCTCCTCACACCTCTGCTGCCCTTGAGCCCGTTCGCGTAGCCATGGTGCCAGACCGTCTCGTTGAAGAGCCTCCTCTTTTCACTGCCTCTCACCTGTACCCGCCGTGATGCCTTTGTCCAGGGCCGCCTCGTCCTCTAACATGTCCACATGCTGTGAGATGAAGTCTCACCATCCCTGTTTTTAAAGAACCCGCGGGCTATGCAGACTTCCTCCAAGACAGACTGGTGTGTTCTCTCGGCAGCCTGTGCTTGGCATGTTCAGTACCTTTTACCAGCACCGCAATCCAGAGCCATAGTTCTTGGTCTTACTCATTGTCCAAGCATATGAAACGATTGAAAATGCCATTGTTCGGGACAGGTCAAGTGTACAGTAGTTCTCAAAGTGACATCCTTGCCCTGTGTCTCTGCCCCTCACTGGACAAATAAATCTGTGAAGGTCATATTTTTAACCTGAAATTTTTTTGTGGTGTTGACTTTAAAGTTAATATCTGAAGATTTCTCCATTTCTTTATGTGATTATAGTAAATTAGGTAACTGGTTTGGAAGAGACTATTTCTACTTCTGATTTCTCTTTTATAAAGACATTCTTTAATACTTTGAACTTAAGTGTCTTAATCTGTAAAAACATACAATTATTTCTTTGAACTTAAGTGTCTTAATCTGTAAAAACATACAATTATTTCTCAGTTAAAGAAAGCAAAACTTCCTAGTTCATTTAGGTCTTTAACGTGATCTCTCAGTATACATTTTGAGTCTTCTCAATTAAAAAAGCTGTCCTGAGGAAATTACCTCACAAACAAAGTTATTTGCAGAAAACAAATCACGAATTTTTTTTTTGAGAATTCTTACTAAAGACTTATTACTGATCTAATTGTGTTGCACTCATATGAAGAAAAAAGAAACTGGTTCTCAAAGGAATATATGGAGTTCCTTCAGAGAGAAATGGCTTAATTGAACAGTATTTTTATTTTTTGTGTGTGTATGTTTGTGGACCGTCAAATCAGATCTGACAGATACAGGAGGAGATTGTCCTTCCTTCTCTAGCAGAGCATCTGGTGGATTCGAACTGCTGAACAGTATTTTTTTTTTAAAACGATATTTATTTTTTAAAAAAAATACACACACACACACCCCCTTCCTCCTGATTACATGGGTAATTATTTCCTTTAATGATTCACTGTTTGGCTAAGCTTCTGAAGTATCTATAGTGCAGTGTAACCTAGTTAGTATTTCTTTTTTAATCATCACTAAATTTTAAAGCCTATTTAAAAATTACTTTCTTAAACTAGAACTACAGGTTCCATTTCACCGAGATATTCTAACAGCCGTAATGCTGAGAATTTGAGAGAAAGCATTTATTGCCTTTATCTTAATAAAAATGCTTGGGAGGGTGGAGGGACAGCGCAGGAGGGGAAGGCCCTCTATGAGGTGGACTGATTCAGTGACTGGGATAATCAGGATGGGAGTGTCAGAGGCAGTGCGATTGGCACAGGACAGAGCAGGGTTCAGGGCTGTTGTACATAGGGTCGCTATGAGTCGGAAGGGACTCAACGGCACATAACAACAACAACAATAATAATAAAGCACATAGTGAATTTATCTGATTGAACAATGATCACAGTCATCATTTGTTTAAGGATATTTTTAAAAATAAGCTGTTGCTGAATGTCCTTTTAAATGTTACTTGTTCTTTTTCAATTTTAAAGGTGAGTCGCTCATCTTTACTAATAGAGCAGCCTGTGAAAAAAAGGCCTCTTTTGGATAATCAGGTGATAAATTCTGTGTGTGTCCAGCCGGAGCTACAGAACAATACGAAGCATGCGGATAATTCTTCTGACACGGAGATGGAAGACATGACCGCGGAAGGTGTGTGCTTTTCTCTTCAGATGCCCTTTGCATTGGCTTTGATTTCTTCTGCTCAAGAAACTACTTGGATTTTCATCCTACAGATTTTCACTTGAGAGAATTTACTCTTTTAGTCTTTGTTGTATTATTTGATTAAAATAATAGCAAAGTGAATCTGGTTCGTAGTAGCCAAATAAATAAAATAGCAAGATGGTGTTAATTTGCATGCCAGTTATCGTGAAAGAATGGAGAGGAAAATGCCCATTATTATATATAATAAATATGATAAATTATAATATTATTATAATAAATATAATTTATATAAAGTAATTAAAAATGTTGGCATCAAAACAGCCAAAGTAGACTTATTTTGCAGATGAATATTTCACTGTTTGCTTAAAAATTCAGAGCGTCTCGTTTGGTTTTTCAGCACCCATATTCTGATATTTTACATAAGGTGAATATTATAATTATAATAGGCATAACACTCTTAAATGAAGAAGTGCTTAAATTTGTTCAAAAGAGGAAAATATCTTAAATCTCCTTGATAGTATAAAGAAGAATCTTTGTTTAATCTATACTGTATTCTAATAATGAATATTCTAGTTAGTTTAAATGGTAAACACAGTTCAGGAAGAAAAAAAGCATGAAATGATATATATTTAATACTTTAAATTTGCTCTTAAAATCAACAGATGCTTTTATTATTTTGAGGAATTAAGGTCTGATTTTTTTTTTAAATAACAAGTAAATCTAACAGCATTCACAGTGAGTCCAGGTAGCACAGAAATTTAGTGCTAACCAAAAGTTTGGTGGTCCGAACTCAAGCTGTCTGCAGGAGGAAGACACACATCTGCTTTTGTAAAGATGACATCTTGCGGACTCTCTGGGGGCAGCCTGTCTCCCCCACCTGTAGAGTTGCTGAGTCCAAGTCTTCTGGAGGGCAGCGGGTTTTTCCCAAATTGCATGTAATATAGTCATTTAATATATTCTGCAGTAATAAATGAATGTGTGCTTGCCTGTGAACAGTTAGCCTCAATACATTGCTATATTCATTTTGAATGAACTTACTTAGTAAATACTTATTGCTTGCACTTTGCTAAACACAACTACATTTCGCCAAGCTCCCCAGATCTGGCCCTTGGCCAATGCATTCCATTTTGAGGCTGTAAATCCTCATGGGAGCAGACTGCCTCCTCTCTCTCCCATGGAGTGGCTGGTGGACCCAAACAGCTCACCCTGTGGTTAACAGCCTAACACATTACACCCCCACAGCCCCTTTTTGGACAGCCTTGGGCCCCAGATTCCTACCTTTGAAGGAAGGCACCTCTGCATTTCTTGGTCCATTAGAAACTGCTGCAGTGTTTTCATTACTGTATTATTTGTTGTTTGAATAGCAAAGCATATAATAGTGTAAAATTTTATTTTTTTTCCAGACCTCCACTGAGTTCAATATGATGTTTTTTATTTAGATGTTACTATAAAACTTTTCAGAGTAGAATCGTGGGGTCATTTTCTGCTCTCAGGCTCAGCATTACCATGGAGTTTCATCCTTTGGCCACATTTGCTTAATCCATCCCTTTCTCTCAGTTCCTCTCTAGTGTTTAAAGAATCTTCATTTTATTTCACCACTATATACATCTCTAAAAAAAATCCCCCAAATTTATATTTTTGATGTAACTAGAGTACTCTGTCATACACAGCAATATTAAAATAAGCCCATGGCTATATTTCTCATTGTTTAAAAAATATGCTATTATTGAAATCTCTATGAAGTCTCATTTTACCTTTTATTATTATGCACTTAGTTGTATTTAATCTTTGAATACTTATTTTAAGTTACAAACACTATTTTATCTGAGGCTTTTTTATTTTTAATTCGAAGTAGTAAAAATAAATGTGCAGGGATTCTTTTTCACCCCTTATATTTATAATGGGTGTAGAAGTGAAAATTCCAGGTTAAAGTATTGGTAATGCGCCCCCTTGTGTTCACAAACTGTAAGACCCTGGAAAACTTGAGAAAGTTTGTAGCATGTTAGTTGCCATGAAGTTCACGGCTTTGTGACATTATTGCACTCTGGTGAAGTTGCCCATGGGGGGTTGCCCTAAGACAAAGGCTGAGCTTCTGGTGGTTCGAATCTACCCTCAGCTCCTCTCTTCCCATGTGATTTACGGCCTTGAAAACCCAGTGGGGGATCAGCTAGAATTCGGTTTTGACTTGTTTGTAGTGAGAGAGGGAGAGGGATAGACACACAGATAAGAATGTAGGTGATAAGAGAGACAGACAAACAGAGATGTAGCATATGCTTGAGCGCTACAACTTGAGAACCTTATACAGAAGTAAAACGCAACTTTCCCTCAAAGACCTTTTAATTTTGTTTGAAACTGAGACCTTTTTCCTCCTTCACGGGCTTTCTGGAGAGGTAGGGTTTGCCCGAGTCATGTATAATGAACCACAGAGGCATGATAACAGATAAGATGATTTCAGGTTGAAACCCCGTGAGTGAGTGCAGAAAAGGAGGCCTCAGCACTAGGTCTCAGTTAATACATAATTCAGAGAGGAGCATCTGCTTGGAGAACTAGTGGGAGATAAAACGGGCCGGGTCAGACTGTAAATGATGCTGGATGTTAGAGAAAAGGGGTAGTGACTATTTCATAGGCAGATGAGATGAGCCAAAGCAAAACTGGTCCTCTTAGGATGGAGATGAATCCTACATGTAATTAAACTGATAGTCATGATGAGAAGAGGAAGAAAAGAGTGAATGAGAAACACAGTATTTCATCAGGACAAGGTAGCAGAGGAAGGAAAAGGGGAAATTTAAAGGAAATAATATGTCATAGTGGAGACTAGTTACATTGAATGGATGATAAATTACTATGATATACTAAGGTATTGGCTAAACATTCTGGTTACAGAGCCAGTTTGAACAAGACCAATAGTAAATCCTTTAAAAACAGGTTATTGTGTGGACTTTTTTGTAATGAATGTAATTGTATTTATTACTGAAGCCACTAAAGCAATGACATCATTGTTGCATGTCACTTCCTACAGACACAGAAGTCCATGGTCGTAGACACTCAAGCCAGAAACTATTTGCTCTCCGGTCGGAACCAGTTCATAGCAGATCCTCCAGCGGGTTTCCAGATGCCCAAGCTTTTCTCACAGAGTCTCTGGTGGATTTGAACCACTAATGTGGAGCAGCCTTTGTGTTAGCAGTGTCACTCCTTTAAAGTATAAAATTCCTGTGAGAAACCGAATTAGGAAATTCTTGAAATTATCTGTGCCTCTCAAGTAAGACATGTTCAAATTCACCTTCTCATTGAGGTCTTCCTCAGTTTCTCTATGTAGAATTCAGGGTTCTCTGCCGTGTATCCCCACATCACAAAGTACTCCAAACAGATGCCACCATGTCCTGCTTGAAAATGTTCCTTCTGAAGAGTGATGGCCGTGCCTTACTCTTCATTCCTCTCACTGTGTTCACTGAAGTTATTCATGTATTTTAGACATGACTGAGCCTTAGCCATGTGAATTCTTAAAACTAATATTTATCTAGAGCAAATAGCACACGCAGAAGCACAAGGGAGTTGGAGGTGTTTTTTTTAACAGGGGTTTTCACTCGGCCATGGTGCTGTGAACCACGTTTACGAGCTGAGCCAGCTGCGCCTCGCCAGGGTAGTAGCTCAAAGAGGAGCTGCCCCAGCTGTTTTGTTTAAATGCCCCCTTTGTTTGCCTTCTCCTTCTTAGAGACATTGGAAGAAATGGACAGTGAGTTGCTCAAGTGTGAATTCTGTGGGAAGATGGGATATGCTAATGAGTTTCTGCGGTCAAAGCGATTCTGCACTATGTCATGTGCCAAAAGGTATTTCTGTTCTTGTGAATTCTGTAAAGCACAGACCAGAACCACTGCAGTAAGAACCAAAAACTCTCATAGTCTACCAGTAGTGAAACACAGGGATCACCATAGACACAGAAAGGATATAAGTTAGACATCTGGAGCTACTTCAGTATCATTAGATCCTGCTCTGTGAAAATGACATGCTCTGCACACCTGTGTTTATATGCTGACTGAAACATCTCAGTCACAAAAGGACAAGTACTGCATAATGCCACTGTTGTAAAACAGGACTGACAAAGGGGGTTGGGGGAAACTAAGAAAAGAGGGGATAAGTAATGAACAGTGCATTGAAACAGATGAGGGAAAGAACTGTTTAAAAGGAATATATGATTAGGTGTTATTTGGATGACAACAGTCCTGAATAAGAGCTGCATAATTTTTTTTCAAAGAGAAAAGTGAACTGGGGGGTGGCTAGGGAGGAAAATATGCAACAGTGAATGAATGGAAATCTGGGTTCTCTGTAAATTTTGTTAAGATCTCAATCAAAAAAGAAAATGACATACTCATCACCCTTACAAGGAGTCTCATGGTCTAGTCTGCTGAGGAAGCAGCCTGCTGATGGTCAGAATATGTTCAGAAACATCCCTCCTGTGAACCGCTGAGTGCATTACAGAGTGTCAGAGAAATGCTTTTTTCTGCAGAAGACCCTTTCTGCTTCTGCAGCCCTAGGTACTTGTTGGCATTCCCTGGTTGCTGTCTTTTCTATTCTGTTAGACATCACTCAGTAGGGATTCAGCACAGGGCCTCTCTACCCTGGCATGGCTTCATTAACCTAACAAAAGACATTTTCTATAGAGGTTCATGTGTGCAAGTGGGGGGTTAGAAATTTTGAGGGGGCATAATTCAGTAGATTTACGTGGTTTTACAGTTTTATTTACTTTAATCAAATCTTTTAACAATTTCTTAGAATAAGTTTTTAAATAGCTATTGCAATAAATTCTCCCACATTGTCACATTATCAGCAAAATAGTTGCCTTTTTAAAAATCAGCATTTTTTAAAACAGTAATTGTTACAGATAAATAGGTGGCCATTGTGGGTACACAGGCACCTGGCTGCCGAGTCCACCCAGAGGCACGGTCTTCGAAAAATCAGCCACTCAAAACCTTATTGAGCTCAGCTCTGACCTGGCCTCTTCGTTTATTTTACAATTCCAGAGTTAGTTTATATTCAAAACCAAACCAAAACTACTAATAGGTTTATTATAAATCTTAATTGTAGAGTTATTTACCACTAAAATTGAAAAATACAGTCAGGTTAATTAATTTGAAGTTTGTTCTGTGTCCAAAAAAGTGATTGTACATTTAGGAAATTTCTGATGGAACATTTTATTTGGATAAATGCTACTAAAATAAACTTGTTATAAACTAAGTAAGAATGTTTACCTCCACAAGACGTTCATATGTTTCTCTGTTACTCTCTTTTCTGTTGTTGATTGTCAATATATTAGGAAATTCTAGAATTCATGCTTTAATTTTGTACATTTTCTTAAATTTGCATATTACAAAAGGAAAAACAAGGCCCTCTAAGTGACTTAAAACTCTGGAAACTTGAAGAAAAGGACTACTTTTGAGAATATTTTAAGCACATCACCATTTAGAAACTTTTCAAGACAGTTAGCATTTAATCCTGTTATATAGCCAGCCACTTGTATTTTTGTGACTAGATGATAATCAAGAGAGAATTAGGGTTTGAGAATTGGCTTGCTGGTCTAACAGATCCTTCAAAGTGTGGTAGTGATTTTGGAGGTATTGGGTCTAATTCCATTTCATAAGACTCTAGATTGCCATAAACAGGCTGTTGGTAGTTATGGGCCTTCGTTACCTGTGAAAGCAGCAGTTTGAATGTACATATAGTGACTACATAATAGATTGTACTTCTCTTGGAAGATTTTGATTTTGCTGCTAGAAGAAGATTTTGCTGCTCTAACGGTATCATCTGTATTTTGCATAAGAATTCTCACTATCATGCTATTATCAGGAGGAAAGATCACACCTTGTTACAGGTGGCCGGTATTGTGTTGAGATACACGGTGTGCTGTATAGAGAGGGGGTAGTTTGACCTTTCCTATAAGTAAATCCATGAAACTGTGAGATAGTCCACAATGAATGAAGTACATGGCATTCACTGATTGACTCACAGTTGCTCTTTAAAGTCATAACAGAGTGCAGAGTAGTCCATGTATCATTATTTTTTTTTCTTCTTGGATTTCCCAGGTACAATGTTAGCTGTTCTAAAAAGTTTGCACTTAGCCGCTGGAACCGTAAGCCCGATAACCAGAGCCTTGGCCATCGTGGCCGTCGTCCGAGTGGCCCTGACGGAGCAGCACGAGAACATCTCCTCAGGCAGGTCTGTAGAAACCTTGCTTCCACGTACAATACCCTTTTCAGAAACGCAAGGAAAGTGCAGTGCTGTATTTTACTTGTACTACATTTTCCAGCTTCCAATTACTTATCCATCTGCAGAAGAAGACTTAGCTTCTCACGAAGATTCCGTGCCATCTGCTATGACAACTCGTTTACGCAGGCAGAGCGAACGGGAGAGAGAGCGTGAGCTTCGGGACGGGAGGATTCGGAAGATGCCCGAGAACAGTGACTTGTTACCTGTCGCACAGACAGAGCCATCAATCTGGACCATCGACGACGTCTGGGCCTTCATCCACTCGCTGCCTGGTACGTAACTGACCACGCTGGCCGTGGTCCCTTCTTGTGCACTCACACACAGCAGTGCTGTTAGCTCCATCCACTCCTGTCACACAAACGGGTTAAAGAAGTACTGGGTGATGTACTCATTAAATGGCATTCGCTATTGAAATGTGATCTCTTTCCTCTTGCTTATTCCCTCAGCACGACTGGGTATTTTCTCGTACCCCCCAAGTCGGTAAAAACTGACTAGTCCTGCTTCTGCTGTGCCACCTCAGCCGTGAAGATATAAAAGGTGCTCTCCTCTCCTCAGTCTGATTTCTCTCGAGAGGTCAGTAGAGAGATGGGATCACACTCTTCTCGCCTTCTGCTCTTCTCGTTTCCTGTTCCACTTCCTCCTATTTCCCAGTTTAACTATTTTTAAAGTAAATAAGAGACTCCCCCACCCCCACATTTTTAAAAGCTAATTAAGATCTTTCAGAATATTGAAATTTGGTTCCTTTTTTTAAAAAAAAAACCACACCAAGCTGATTCTTTTAAAATAAGCTGCGTCTTCTGCCTCCTTACATAGAAATTACTTCTAACATTTTATTTTTTAGGTAGGTAGACACAATTCAATTGTGATATTTTAGTCCACAATGAGGGTAACTTTCTTATTCATTTCCCTGCTCTTAATTCTCATTTTCCATCAGTTTAGATCTTTATGTTCTTTATTTTTTCTTTAATGCAACAACAATCTTTCATACTCACTTTTTCCAAGGAGCTGCCAGCTCAAGACAGCACTCCTTTGTTCATGATGCGACACACAGCAGTTCTGTGTATTAATACTTATTTTTAAATCACCAAATCTTACCAGTCCCTTTGACCTTATGAATATGGAAAACATGGTTTTGGGTGGTTGTTGTTTTTTTTAACATTCCCTTTTGATTTTTTGTGATTCATACCTTTGCTCTTGAGATAAGCTTTCCAGAAGAATTCATCTCATTTGAAGTTGGTTATGAGACTTACTAAAATTAATGTAGCTGTTGTTGCTATTTAACCTTTTTACAAAGATGACTACGGTCTCAGAATGAAACTTGTAGCTAGTATACTTGTGCTGGAGAAAAAAAAATAATTCAGAAATAACACTGCTTTAAAAAATGTCACCCATTTTACTTTATATACATATATAGAACTCATTTTATATTTTAACAGTTAAGTACCCTGTTTTAAAAATGCTAAATGGGTAGGGTTTTTTTCGTTTGTTTGTTTTTATAAAATATCACTTTTAAAGAAAGATGGACTTGTTTAAGGGGGAATCCATTCTTAATGGAAGACTTAATTCATAAGGTCTGAAAAATTGTCCCATGTGGGTTTATTTTAAATATTAAAGCAAATATTTTAAATTTGCTTTAAAACAGGTATGTTAGAGGATGGTGAGGCTTCACTGTTTCTGGTTTTAATACTAATGAAACAAACTTTGGGTTTTAGATGAGCCCACGTGTCTTGAGAATGAACAGAGGCATCTAAACAGTCTCCTGTGTCTGGGTTTGAGTCTTGCATTTTCAGAAGCATTCTCAGTCTTTCTGGTGGAGCACATTATCTTTTTGTAATCTTCATTTCTCATTTTGGAGAACTTTCTCATCTTTCTTTCCTTGGGGGTGGGGGGATGGTTTATGTCCTGAGGAAAGTATTTGCCAAAAATTAACTGGATATTGCTGATCCTTTTATCACCTATGCTCTTTGAAGACTAGTTTTCTATTTCCTTCCAGCATCAAGACGCCTCCCTTGGCAGCTTTTCCTAGAACACAGGCTAACTCCTTTATCTTATTCTTGCTTCATTTGAGTTTAAAAACATTTATCGTTTGTTCTTAACCAAGTTGCTTGACTTACTGAGTTCCTCTAATACTAATTCTGTTACTGATTATTTAGAGAACACTGGATTCATTAAAAGGAGTCTGCTTTATAATTTAGAATTAACTTGCACTCTTTTTAAACAGTTTGCTTTAAAGAATTCCATTTTTCTTTTACTGATTACTTGTGAGTAGATAGAAACTGCTATGGTAGACCAAAATAGCTTACTTATTTGAGCAACTGTATTTTCCGTCTCTAACTCTGAATAATTCTTACTTAAGGTAAATCCTATTCAGAAAATAAATTTATCTTCATTTCTTTATGCTCTCTGACCTTTCAGCCCATTCAGGGCTATTGTTTTTGATTTGTGATTTTCGTCTAAGTAATTGTCAGCTTGTTCTCCAACTTTTCTCATAGGATGAGCAAGATTAGACGTTTGTACTCTGCTCTCGATTTTCTTTCTTTCCAATTGTAGATGGACATCCCCTTTTGAGCACAGCATGTCTGTTTACACTTGTGTTTTCTGTTCTCTTTGTATAATGCCATTTGAAAACCATTCTGTTGGAACTGTTAAAGCTTCTGTGTAACATGTCCAAATTTCAGAGCTATTATTGGAGTGAAAAAGTAATTTCTTAGGCATTAAAAGATCTGTGTAGGTCCATTTCTTTTCCTTTTCAGTCACCTGCTGCTTAACTTCCTTAACTTTCTTCATATAGTGAACTACCATTTGCAAAGATCCCAGTGTATTCCGTGGATTTGCACATCTTCTGATTGGCTTTCTCTGTAAGCATGCAAATGAGAAATTGTCTTTTAAAAAAGACTATTGACTGGTATCTGTAATGTTAATATTCTAGAAATACCCCTCAAACTTGTCACCATGCGTTTGCTCCAACTCCTAGCTGACCCGGCAGCGAGGTGAGGCTGTAAGTCTCACAGGAGAAGATTGCGCATCGTTTCGCCCAGGGCTGCTGGCATATCTGAACTACCAGAGAAGTGCAGCCTCTGGTTCAGCAGCACGGCTGCCCCACAGATCCCGTTAATACTGGGACTTGCTTTCTTCTTGTATTGAGAAGAGGTGACCCTTCTCACCAGTTATCAATTCGTCTTTGTTTAGGAAGTGTGTTTTTAAGGGCTCTTTTGGTTTGTTTTCTAACTTGGAGAAGTGGTTCTGATGACTTGGGGGTAATGCTGGGATCCATGCACAGAGGTCCATGGGCTGTACTGCACTCACTATTGGGGAGGTGAAGCCGGCTGAGCAGAACGATTGTTTCAGTTGCTGGATGCTTTTTCTGGGCCCTAAGTAACTTGATTTTCTCATTTTTATATACCAATCTAACTAATCTTTGCTGTAGTTGGCTTAAGAAAGTTGTCTAAAATTTCAGTGATAATATATTCCTATTTGATTATGCTATTTCCAAAAAAAAAACAACTTTGTTCTTTATTATTTTGATAGTATATTTACTGTCAGCCTATACAACACGCAATTGAAGAGCGATCTCAGAATACAATGGAACAGGGACATGCTGTGTATTTTCCTCGTGGAGAAGTCCTTGTTTCTATTCCCAACTGTAGCTCTTATGACCCTGATTACTTCTCGTTGTTCCTGTTTTCTGAATCTAAGTAAGTCCTACTCTATCTTTCTCTCTTCTTTTCTTTCCTGTGTTCTTGTAAGTAAGACTGAAGAGAGAAGAATATTAGTTCTTTCATAAAAAGAAGGATGAAGTCACAACTAGATGCAAGATTAGTCAGTTTTGTCTGCCCAGTTTTGTTGAGAGCTTCCTCTGGGAAAGGAAAAGGGGCTTTTCTCTGGTGAGTAATCCCATAATCATACAGTTCTTTTAATAGTAAGTGGGAAAAATTTGGTAGAGAGGACTAAAGTATCAATTTTTTAAAGTCTGAGAAATTATTAAGGAAGAAATTAAATACAAAGCTGGCTGCTTTTTGGAAAACAGGAAAAATACAACCAACAGCAGGAATGAGAGAAAATAGGCACTCAGTTGAACACACAAAAAAGTTTGAATTGCTCTTACACAAAGCCCTCCTGTAGCAGATTTTTGTTCCATTTATTCGCTTGTTGATTCAGTCATTCTCTCATTTATTAAAAAAAATTTGGTTTAAGCCGTGTGACACTGCTCTGTGTTTGGTACACCAGAGGATGATATGATACATTTGCAATAGAAAAGAGAGTAGTTCTGTCAAAGTTGTAATATCCAAAGGTGGAATGTAATGATTTCCATTATCTTTTGTGCTTTTCCTTTCAAACTGGATTTGACTAAAAGAGACTTAAGGCTGTAACTTTTTATTATAAAGCTGCCGTCTCTTACAAGAAAACGTGCACATTTGTGCATTTTCTGTTCTGGTGGCTCTTTTATTCATTGTCGTACTATTGGTTTCTTTCACTTTAATGGACACGTTTCTTGAATAACCTGAATATGTAAAATTTAGCAGAAGGTAAAAACATTGGCGGTTCTAGTGGACGCCAGAGCCCTGTAACTTGCTAACGACCTGGTTTAGACAGAGGGTTAAAATACCGGTTGGCTGTCCGCTGGTTCATAGCCTCAGGGAGAATTTGTATTCTTAGCAAACATTAATGTGAGTCCAGTCCCTGCCAGCGAGGAAACAATGTTAAGATTAGAAACTGAAATCTGAAGTCAAGCAGGATTTACACATTTCAAGAGTATTTCAGCAGACAGGTACTACAGTCTTGATAGATTTGTTCTGTCCTGAGTGGACAACAAAACCATGCTTTAGAAGTGCTTGATCTAGTGCAACAATGAATGAATGGAAACCCAAAATCTCTGTAAATGTTTATGAAAATTAATGAAATATAATTATAGAGAAAAAAAAAAGAAGTGCTTGATCAAGTTTATAAATTAGACTAGGGTACAAAGATAATGAAAGGTAGTAGTAGTACTACTACTACTACTTGAGAAAAGTACTTAAGTTGTACCTACTTGAGAAAATACTTTCAGATTGTTACTTAATGGCAGAGCATGGCATGGTGAAATCTGTGAGGAAGACTGCCTAGTTTTTCCTGGTCTCTCAAGGTTTCCGTTTCTGATGGGATGCAATCTCTCTCACTTGTTTTAGTGGAAAATATTAGTGTTTCCCTTCCCTGGCAGGTTTCTGCCTTACCTAGGTTTTACCGTATTGCATCCCTCTGTCCTTATGTCGTTGTTGTTTGCCGTCGAATAAGAACTGAGGCATAGCTGACCTTGAGCAGGTTGTCCATCGCACTGGAGAGCTTGCCCGGCTTCTTCCCTCAGACCTCAGGCGGCAGTAGCCCGTGGGCAGTGCTGCTTCTTACCACTGGGCCACCAGCGACCATGACGAGTTAATCCAGACCTTCCGTGGGTGGATGTGCCTCGGAATCACACCACAGGCTGCCAGGAAGGAAATGTTCTCTCCACACTGGCCACACTAGGTGCACTGCACCTGTTCCCAACCAGTTAGTTCTGTAAGACCTCCAAGTAAATCACTTTGCCTGGATTTAAAATTAACTCTTATTTTCAGAATTCCAACAAATACTCTCTTCTTCAGGAGTGAGCACAAGACTACCATAAATAAATTTCATTTGTTTCTCAGCCTGTATTTCAGATACTCAGACCCAGTGAGAGTATAGCGATTGCTTTTAGAAGTGACAGCTTCTTAACTTCCCTCCCTTGATCCACTTCCAGGATGCCAGGATATTGCCGATGAGTTCCGAGCCCAGGAGATTGACGGGCAGGCCTTACTTCTCCTGAAAGAAGACCACCTCATGAGTGCCATGAACATCAAGCTGGGGCCAGCCCTGAAGATCTGCGCGCGCATCAACTCTCTGAAGGAGTCCTAACAGGAAGTGGGGACCCTGCAGGAACCACAGTCTTGCACCTCTCAGACAGACTTGTGAGGTAAAGGTCCACGTCGGCCGAGAACATCACACCTACCATGGCGATCTTTCCATCAGAAAAATGTTGGTGTTTCTTCAGCAGAGAAATGATTCACATACATTTTAATGAAAGAGCCAAAACTGGCAGAATTAATTTTACAGGTTCCATACACTAGTGAAAGATTTAAAGAAGGTCATGATATTTTTCAAATGCATTGTACTAGATGATTTTTAAAAGGTGATGTTTGCATTAAGAATCATTTTAAGAATAATGATTTACATTTCTCTTTTGATTCCTTTTCTTAGACATTTTTGTACCCTATTTACTCAGTTTTCTAACGGTTGTCATAAAAGCTCTGTTACGGTATCATTTAGGAGTCCAGTGACTAGAACCACATCAGTGACAAATTGGTGTGCATTTTATTTTTAAAATGCCTGTCGTTTAGACACTGCTTTACCTGTGAAAGTGACCACACTCTAGCATGAATAATACCGACCAGGAAGTCGGGTGCGTTGCCTTCGGCTTTGCTCTTGACCAAGAATTTGGTTTGAAAGTTAGTGTTCTCTTGTCCGTTGTACAAGTCAAGCAGTGGCTCTCGGCAGGAGGGAAGTTTTGCTGCTCCGAGGACATTTGGCAACATCTAGAGACACTGTGCTTGGCACAGCTTGGGGCAGAGAGGTTGCCGTTGGCGGCCAGGAGGGAGAAGCCAGGGCTGCTGTCCTCGGCAGCCGGCAGTGCGCAGGACAGCCCGCCACAGCACGGACTCTCCAGACAGAATCTCAGTGCCATGGTTGAGACATTGACATGGAATGAAGAGTGTTAAATCATGTTCATTTTTTACCAAAGGGATATTGGTAATGGGGGAGCAATGATAAGATATATACACAGTATTACTCAGACAGCATCAATGGACTGCTCAGTATTTCCCCCAAGCTTCTTGTACATTAGAAAAAGAGGAGTAAAGTCCCAACGGAATTTGCCCTATAAAAAGGAGGACTTTTTTCCCAAATAATTTGGCTCTCAGAAATTACTGATTGGTATTAACTTTCCTATCTCTGTGTTCCTCTGTACAGATGAAGACCTAATATAATTAGGCTTTATGAACCTTTACTGGCTAGGAAGATGTTTATAGAGGTGGTTTTTAAAAAAAAAATTTTTCTGAAGTTGAACATGCTGGGGTCTAGTAGATTGCACATTCCTGTTTCCTTTCCCTGTGCATGCTTCCTGCAAAGCACTTACCAACTGACATGTCTCGGGAGGTCGGATCTAATTTTATAAGTATATTTTAAGAAATAGAAAAAACAAGCAAACCCAACAAAACTTAAAGCAGAATTGTCCACTGACCAGATTTTAGTGCTCTATAGAGTGTGGGAGCTTCGAGAGATTTTAGTCCTGGATCTAGACATTTTTATTTAATGAGATTATACAGCTTTTGTTAGAATCTTTTCATATCTTTATGACGTAACTGTTTTAGTTCTTGAAGGAACATACAGATACTCACAGAAGGGCGGGAAAAGGGGAAGAGTCCACGGATTTCAGTCGTTTCTACTGCTCTTTTCAGAAAGACTGAATGGAGTAGAAGACTAAAGATGTCAGTAAGACGTCACAGATATTTATCTTTTGGCTTTGTGTACATTAGAGAATGTTGATTATTTTTATACAGAAATACAGCAGGTAATTTTTTTAATCTTTTAGATGCCTCTTGTTTGAATGTATGCTTTGTGAGATTCTTTTGTGTAGTAATGTTTCCAAAAGAAAAAAAACAACGTTTACTAATAGTCGCGTAGGGTTAGGACCTGTAATATAGTGTAAGGCTCATGCTCTAGACCCACAGTCACTTGTGTCTGTGTTACAGATTTCTTCGCCATATTTTTAATACTGGATTGAACTTTCAGAGAAAGGCAGTCAGTTTTCATTTATTAGTTGTCATGTTTGACTTTGGAATACAGTTTCCCGTCGTCGTCTGGTTAATTTTAGAATACAAATACACGTTAAAGGTAAGTAGGAGTAGGCGATGACCCACCACATGAGGGGGGTGCAGAGGAAGCGCTCCCCAGAATTAAAGCTGCATCACAGATAACCCATCAACAGTACCTGAGTGAGTATGTGGGAGGTAACCCCCCTAGCAGTGAGCCTCCACCATAACTCTTACCAGTAGCCTTGAAGGCATCAGCTCTGGACTGTGTTGTATTTTTCCTCTCATTAACTCACTTCTCTAATCCCAGTCACTAGGTCCATGTCCCTGTCCCGGGGCCTGCCTGTGTTACGAGTCCAAGAGAGGCTTCTATGGGTGGTTTCTACTTACAAATGTTTTCTAATCTGTAATCTTAAGGGCTGTCCAGATCTCCTGGTGTCTCTCCTTAAAACTACTCAGACAATAGAATTGTTTTCTTTTCATGAGTCGTGTTAGCTGTCAGTTTCTTATTTGCTTTCTCCATTCCAAAGCTCCCGCTGTCCTCAGTGAACATGTAGATGCTAACACTGGCTGTCAGCCCTCTGGAGGCTCGGCACAGTGGCCGCGATGGTGACGGTGACACCGGCGGTGATGGTGACACAGGGGGAGGGTGACACTGGCGGGGAGGGTGCAGTGCTTTCTTATTGTTAGTTGCTTTACAATTCTGAATGGGGAACGAGTACAGGGGAGATGGGAGAGTCTTCCATTTTGGCTACTTAGATTTGCATTTTTCAGACTTCTTTTAACTAATATATTCTTCTTGTTGGGGTAGAAGAGACCTAAGTTTTAAATTTTGTTTTCTTCAAGTCTTAGGAAAGTAAGCACACTTGAGTTGTTTTGTAACTTTCACTTTTCTATAACATTGATTTTTTTTCAAGCACGTCTTGGCAGGTGTGTATACACACACATGCACAGATAGAAAACATTGCTGTGTGGCTCGGACAGAGTCATTATCGAGTGGGACAGTGCTGTCCCAGGGCCTGTCAGCGTCTTCGCGGCACAGAACAATCTCCCTGATAACTTGCCCTGGCATCTTCTAAACAGAAGTATCTTTGCTGGCTGTTTCTTCCCCTAGTTCTGTCTGGAATGGGTGTGAAGAAGCTTGAGAACGGGAAGAGGCAGAGAGGAGACCTGCCACTTCACCTGATGTTGGCCGTTGCAACACTGAGCAAGTTTTTTGCACTTTTGAAGTGAATATTTATGCTTTACCTAGTTTTATGTAGATGGTTTTCTTCTTTTAGGTATTCCACTTTATTTTTGTTCCTGGGTCTGCTGAAACCCTAGAACTGTGTGAAGCAATTGTGGCCATGCCTGTGGATAACTCTTGGTACAGCTCATCTTCAAATAGGAAATGATTAGTGAGATAGGAGTAGAAACACCTTTGGAAAGAATAAACTATTGCATATGTCTGTGAACAATGCTATCCTAACAGCCATATCCAGTGGATGGAGTCTCTAACTATAACACATGGTTGGAACCTTCTGAGAGAGACATTGGTAACCGAATGGGCTGGCCACACTTCCTGGTTTGAAGGGCTGTCCCCCGGGGGATCAGAGGAGCAAATGCTGTCTGCACAACGGGCGTTGAGCATTTCCTGATCCTTCACCTCTACTAACCTTTCTCCAGGCCCTAAAAATGGCATGCTTTGTGTCTACAGAGACACTGTTGACTGAAAATGCTTAGAGAGGCTTTTGCAGTAGGGAAGGAGACAGTGGTGGCCAGACTTTGTGGTACCTGACAGTTCAGGGAAGCCTTTGGGCAATGGTGACCAGCCCATCTATGCAAAATGTGTGCTGGCCTGTTTCCTGGGCGCCGTATATATAGCTAGCTGTGCTGAGGAGAGGCCCCTGGGGACAGTCAAGGAGAAGAATGACTGGAAGGAAGCATCCACCCCCAAGAGGCTAGGGCCTGAGCGAAGTCATCAGGTGCAGCTTTCATCCGTAGTTTAGAATAAGAAATTGTGTACTTCCCCCCACTGACAGCAGTGTGCAGGCTACCGTGTTAATGATCTCAAGGTCCACTTGGAATGAAACCCCTTATTTCACTGTCAGGTGATCTGCAGTCTGGCACATATCTGAGTGCCCATAATTCACTACTAGGACTGGGCAGTAAGGATTACAGAGGACTACACGTCTCAGCTCTCACTACAGACTTCTGTCTTGTAGACTGTGAGAGACATTTAGAAAATAGATTTCAGTTGTCGGTCTGTCTCCGTCCAGGACTGCGTGAGCACGCTGTAGGTTTCCTGTGCCCAGCCTGGACTGCAGTCGGCACAAGCCTTCCTCTGCTGCTCTGTTACGCAGCCCTGTGGGTCAGAAGTGAGCAGTGGAACCAGCATTCGTCAGTAATGGAGCAGTGGTTTTCATCTCAAAGATTGTGACTCCGTTTAGATAAGCACAAATACAGTACTGCGAAAATGACTTCAACTTGTGAAAGCAGTACAGCTCTAAACATTCTTTGGGAAGAGAATCCTCTCTGGTTAGTTGTTCATAAAGTAAATCCATATACACTTTCCTTCATAGCAGCAATATAAGCCATTCCTTTAATTTAAAGAAAATGTTTAAAGTTTATTATCCTTGGAAAAAGTTTTCCTAAATTTTAAGAGTTTTCAAAGCTTATATATTATTTTTTAAAGCTTATTTAGCCCTGACAAAAGTATGGGAAAGCTTTTTTGAAAATTGTAAAGTGCTAATACAGATACCATTATTATCAACATAGTCTAGAGAAAAAGTTTGTTTCTTTCTGAACTTTGAATTCCATTTTAGTGTAAGTAGGTTTGTAGCGAGCTCCACGCCTTCATTTTAGATCTGGAACCTGGCTCTTCATTCCATTCCGTTCCTTTGGAGCCAGATTTACACGCACATTACGCTCCACTCCACACGCCACACCACACACACTCTCATATCTATAGGACCTTTGGGGAAGTTTTCTCATAACTATTATATACTCCCTTTTTATGATTTATGAACTTTTATAGGAAATGACAATTTAAAACCGCACAGGGTTGTAGAAATGGTACAAAATGAGATTCTGGCTAATTCAATATGAATCCACAAAATGAAAACTGGTGCAAAAATGTTAAAATATACTGTTTTAAAAGAA